TTTTTTGTTCTAGTACATACGTAACTTCGAAGCTTTTTCTTTAATACATGATGACAACAAGAAAAAACCTAACTTTATTCTTAAACACCGGATCCAATCCTTGAAAAAAACATGTATAATTATGACGTTAATCGTCGTTAAATTATAAATTTACAACCTCGATTTCTGATTTTCTCTTGGTGTCACTCACATATTAATAATCCGTTTTTTATAATAAACTAGGTGCTTGAGTTGCTTAAAGGGAGTTAGTTATGAGTGTAATATATTGTATCACGCTAGTATATTATATAACAGATTTCGATGAACATTTATGCATTTCCTTATATTTAAATCAACAGATCTTGAATAATTTCTAGAAAGGTCCTTTTTTTACTATCTCTGTTAATATCAAATTTATTATTATCTACAAAATATTAGTATAAATGTTAAATTGATAAGCAAAAATATATTAACAATTAAAAAATGGTCCATCAGGAGCTTTTCACTCACTTGGTACTTAATACCTCTTAATTATCACTTCATAGATTTAAAATCACAATCATATATAAAGTAGTCCATAGATAGGCAAAGTAAATTTTGGAAGTAATAATAATTTAATTATTCTTTACTTGATATTAAGTAACAACGCTACTAAAATGCACCTATGGTGTTGAACACCATAATTAGCTATATCTCAAAAACGTACTAGCTAACACCTCTCAGGGGTACTAAGTAAAAATGATCAGAACCCCCAAAAACCTTATGCTAACTAAAATTTGGACCTTTATATCTAACCCCTATCTTACTCTAAAGTTGCACCCTAATCCTAAATTTGAGCTAAAAACTTATTAACACCATAAACACCATAGGCGCATTTTATATTATTTGTTAAGTAATAGTGATTATTATATTCTATTACTTTATGTATATAGATTTAGTTGCATGACAACACTCAGAAGAATCATCAAAAAATAAGTGGATTTGCAGCTAAAAATAGAATCATCATAATATTACTAATTATTATATATTGCTAAAAAATCTTGTGTAATATTAGTAAAAGTATGGAATAAGTTTCAGTTATTGTATGGGTTGTAGAAAATAATTAAATTTGTATAGATTAACTAGTCCTACATAGCTAAAGGCTATGTAAAACATGTTGATCCTTGCAAATTTAGTTATTTTATGCAATCTTATAGGTTTGATATAACAACCCATATGATATCTTTCACATTAATAAAAAAAAATTTTAATATTGATATTATAAAGGCTCTATTTAATAAAATTTTTTTAAAAATCAAAGAACTAAATCTAATCAAGAAAATTTTAATTATATTATCCAAAATTTTAATAAAAAATAAATTTTAATTGTGTAAAGAATCATATAGAAAGTTAAAACTTAATAATAAATAATCTGTATAATGATAATTTTAAAACAAAGATTTAATAATAAGTAATTCAGTATACTAAAATTATAAAAGAAAAATTAATAATACATACAAATCTAACAAGAATTTAAAAAAAGTAAAAATTAATAATATGTAAATTCATCTAGCAAGAATTTTAAAGCAAATGCTAAAATGAGATTTTGTTTAGTTAAAATTTTAAAGAAAGTGATAAAAATTTTAAAAAATACAAAATCTAAAATTGTAATTTTATTTAATATGAATTTAAAGATAAAAATAAAAAAGAAGATATAATAATATCTGCCTTCAATAATCATTTAAAGAAAGTTCAATTATATTTATCATTCCAAAAAAAATTTAAAAAAGTGAAAACAAATTAACTTTAGTACTATTAAATAGCAATTTAAAAAAGTAAAGACCTAATGCTCTATTAATAATTTTAAAGATATAAAGAGAATTAATTTAATAAAAATAAAATAACTAAATTAGAATATTTTCATATTTGATAAATATAAAAGTGTTTTGATTTAATTGTTTTTTTAAATACGTACTGCAAATAAGTGAAAAAAATACAAGTTGTTATATAAGATCTATGCAATAACAATTATTTTTTTTAATATTTAAAGTAAGATCATGTCTTTGGTTTTTATTAATATGTACTTATTTCAACAAGTCCTGACTTAAGATGACAAAAAATCAATAGTATTGCAAAAGCTTTTCAATAAGTATATATCTTGTAAAACAATTTATAAAAGATTTGTTAATGCTTAAACTTTTGACAATTTGAATTAATATTATTTTAATTTTTTTTAATTAAGTTTTGGCTTTGAAAAAATTTTTGAAAGAAATTTCTGTTTTGGCAAAGGTTTAGATTTTAAATGAAGTTTGAGTTTTAAATGAGATTGCAAAAAAAATATTCTAATTATTATATCAAGATTATAGCATATTTAGCAAAAATATCCTGACTATATATGTATAAGTGAAAACTTCATTTCTGCTAATACCCAACATATCAGGATTTCTTTGATGGATATTTTATAGAATAGATGGGCAATATAATAAATAAGCTTTGCTAATGTTTAGTAATTATCAATTTTTTAATAACAGAGTTGTAGAGTTTGCAGAGTTTGCCCACCTATTCTATAGAACATCCTTTATGGATATGATAATCAAAACAACAATTATTTTTTTTTAAAGTTATATTTATTTCAAAAATTTGCCCAAGAAATCATGGTTCCTTTGGGAAAGAGGGCTGGTTGCAAATTGAGGCTATCTAGAGCTGAATTGGCGATGGCTTGTGTAAAATTAAACTGCACTTTTCACTAAATCAGCCTTTTTCTCACAATGTTCATTATAATGTTAGGATTACTACATGCGTAAGGTTATTAGAATCATACTCCTCCTGTAATCTTGATTATATGGGATTAGTCCTGTTTCTGTTGCTATTTTCACGGAGCACACTACCCTGCTTAGCATCTTTTTTGATCTGTTGACTTTTGTCAACTCGAATGAAATTATACAGATTGGTATGGAATAGGTGAGCAAATATGTATAATATAGGTTTTAATTTTTTAAAGACTACACCATACCGATATTAATGAGCTATAATTTCTAACCAAAAAGTGTAGTACAGTTTATAAATCAGCCTGTACAATACGATCTGTTTACTTATACCAGTACATATGATTTATTAATTGAGCTTCTTTATACATAATAATTTAATGAATGAGTATAAAAAATAATTTATTAAGCTAGTATTTAAATAGGTTATTCCAGTTTTGTTTACTGTTTTTAGATTGTAAATATAATGAGAATTTATGTAACTATACAAGTTCATAATGTTTACTATTTATACGCATGAATAGTGCATGAGTATAATAATGATCATTTAAATCAGATATTCAAGTTCATGAATATTTACCACTTAAGTTCATTTTATTTGCATTAATTTAGTGCATGAGGATAAATATAATTTTCAATAAAAGTTCATGTACAAGATTCCCAAAAAATAGTAAACCACCATGAATTAGATCTGGGCATGAACCACGGAATCTTTATTAATTAAATGCAAATAGCCAAAATGTTATTATAAATATAAGGTGTGTAAGCACTTTAAATTTTTTTCATGTCATAAGCTCTGGGTGAGTGCTGACCGCGGATCTACTAAAGGGTTTAAAAATTGGAGTAATGTACAAGACCCGGGTCATGTATATGAACTTTTACGGTATTAATCTTAGTATTAAGGTTCATGAATATTTATTATGGCAGTAATAAAATAATGCGTATTAGTATATGTAATAACTCAAGAACTAATTTCTTAGCATAGTCCTATTTAAACGAGACAAACTTGATTCTATGTTTTACATTACCTCCCACTCCCCTCCGAAAGGGGGGGAATTTGTGGTTACATAGTAAAATTTTAAAAAATTTTTCTTGCAAAAAAAATTTTCCGAATTGTTTTGTGACTATATAAAAACTTTCTGAAATAGTCCGTAACCCCAGGGATGTACGTTTTTGATGTTCAAAGCCTGTTTTGGCATGTCCAACGTCCAAATGTTCAAAACTCATCTAAGCTTTAATAATTAAAACATTTATTTTAAAAAAAAAACATGATTATATATTTTATTTAATTTTAAACATTTTTACTTAGAAAGTTGAAATAGGTTGTCTTAATAAAATTTTGAGCAATTTTAATATTTAAAAATGTCCAAGATGTTCAAACTTTGTCCAAAGGCTGTCCCGTGACATCCCTGCGTAGCCCTATATATATTTATCTAAATTTTTTACTATGGGGAACGCTGGAGGATAATGTAAAACACAGAGTTAAGTTGGTCTCGCTACGGAATCTAGACTAAAAGCATTGAACTTTTAACAGCCTTTGCCCGTGCTCAATGGCACGGGTTCTCGCTAGTATAAGATAATATAAAATTTTTTGATGAAAATTTTTACTGCTTTAGTCAAAAAAGAAATGTGGCATGTCACGAGCAAAGGCACAACCAATAAATAACCCGTTTCACATCTGATCATTTTAGAAATGATCTATAGCATTCCTGCAAAGAAATATTAAAGTGGGATAATGTAAATACTGCTTTTTAATAGATCGTCGGTACTGTTCTTTATAAGATAAAAAAAATTGATTTATGTACCATTCCTAATTGCGTTCTTAAAAGGATCCGATTTTGATTTTTCATAAAAAATTCTAGTCATGACCGAATATTTTGTTAAAACTTTAAAAAATAATATTAACGACCCATCAAACAATACTTTTGCATTTTAGAAAGCTTAATAAAGATTTTTATCAAATTTTATTAAAAACTATGTTTTCTCTAAGTTCTATAAAACTATAAACTAACCTTACATAATATTAAATATAATTAATTTAATTTATATATATTATACAAATTGTACTAAATAGTATCTGTGTACATATATTTAGTGTATAATTAAGTTTTCAAAGTGCTAATTCGGTAAAACTTTCTAAAAAAAATTGGCATTAGACATAATGTTTTCATGTTTTTTATACAATGAAAACAATAAAATTATATTATTTATTCTTGACAAGCTTTCTCCTCATTTACAGACTTGTTCAGAATATTATTTAATATTAATTTTGATGCACTAATTATCTTCAATGTGGAGTTCATTCAATTTGTTGGAAACATAATCATTTTCTTTTAAATTTAAATTAAGCAGTCGACTTGTATAAATGGCTTGCGGATGTATTTTGTATGTTTCTAATGGCATTAATTTTTCTGCATCATCTATCTGTCTATATTGACGACAAAATTCTTCATCCTGACCACAATACCATTTCCCAAAAAGATCAAATAACTCAGAAGCTGTTGGACGGACTAGAGGGTTGTCATCCCAACACTTGATAATTAATTTCTTTAATAGCTGAGGCACGTTAATAATATCTGAATTAGGACGAAGTCCGTTACATATATTTATAGTCAAGGAAGTATTATGAGGAACATTGTAATAAGGAGGCAATCCAGAAAATAATTCGTATGCAACTATTCCAAATGAATATATATCAGAAGCTTGTGTGTATTGTTTTCCTCTTAAAATTTCAGGTGCAACGTAAGGCAGCACTCCATAAATTGTTTTATCATCATTTGCTTCATCAATTGGTTTGCATAATCCCAAATCAGTAATATAACAGCCAATATTTTGCATTGTTTTGTTGTATTCTAGGCTTTTAAAATACAATGTACTACTAAATCTATTTAATATATTACCCGGATGAAAATCTCTGTGAATTAGTCCTTGAGAATGAATGTGGTATAGTCCATTTGCCATCGTGTATAACAATCCAAGTTTATCTTCAAAAAATAATTGATTATGATTATTATCTAGATATTGCCTTAAGTTACCACCTTCAAAATAGTGCATTACCATTAGATAATTGCCTGTTGTAGGATCTTGAGAAAGTCCATAACATTGACTAACATAAATAATATTTGTACTATGATCAAACAGCCGATAATTAGTGATCTCTTGTAAGACATCAGCCGTCAAATTTTTGGAATTATTTAAGCATTTTAAAGCAACATCTAAAAAATTCCATCTGGCTTTAGATACCACACCAAACCCTCCATGAGCAAGATATTCAATATTAGATAATTGTTCGTATGGTATCCATTTTAAACCATCATTTTCTCTAATAAATTTATTTATTTCTGGATTTTCACACATCATCCCTTCGGCATAATCGTCTAATTCTTCAAAATCAACTGGTCCAAAATTATAATAATCTAAAGAGTAAATTTAAAAATCATGACTTATAATATATTTCTAATAAATTTAATTTTGGGAATACGTTATAGTTTTCCATTATCTTTTTTTTAGGGTTTTATAATTATGACTGCATTTTATATTTAACGATTTAAAAAAGTCCCGCAGTTTGTGATTTTAAGCAAAATTTTGTTTTAAAAATAACTATTGTTAACAAAATTAAAATCCCGTCGTGCAGAAAATGTTTGCTAGTACACAACTAGGGATTTGTTCGGTCGGTCATTACCGGTTAATCACTCATGACCGGTTGTACAGGTAGGACCGTCCCAAATATGGAAACCCTTGGTTGACTCAGGACCGACGATCATGTTATCCATTCAACCAATCAAAATCGCGAATTTTGACTATACGCAGAT